GATGATCTGATGATGAGGATGAGGTGAATCGATGTGCATGAGGTGAGTTGGTTCGATTGTTTGGAAGTGGATTATAGAATGCATTTCAATTTACACATGGCGAAGAGAGCGTTTCCAGTTGGATATGGGATTAAACGAAGGAGCTGTGGAATTCGGTTAGGAAATATGAAAATGAGAAAATGGATATATAGGTGGCATTTATTGTTCTCTACACACTCGGTCATAACATCATGATTATTGTAACAGTGCATACGAAGCGATTTGATTCATAGCATTTTCCTGCAAAACTGAGATAATATTCAAGAAGACATTGCACAAAATGCTGTGATCAGTTTTTTTGGGAATAAAAATGTTTCCTCGGATTGAAGGAAACATCTGTACAATACGAGAACTGTTCGTTTTTGAGTCGATTGTGAATTAGAATGCGAAGAGTGACATCTTTTGTCTGATTCATCGAGAATTAAAGCCAAATGATATGATTTGGTTTAATTCGTCTATAACATTGTACTGCTTGCCTCTATCTCAGCATAGTGTTATTCGTGTGCGTTATCTGTCGATTGAAAGTAGTTGAAAGCAACTAGAATTTGACGGAAGAATTGGCGCATATCACTAGATACAGATTAATATTGAAGCTGCTTTTTATTGTCTACCGGTGGCGGTTTTCTTGCATTTAAAACACTGAAATAAACGTCTTTCTGACATGACATTCCATACGAAAAAGGGAGAACTTCCCAGGACGATGATTCCTGAAGCAGGATTCCATGAATTTCCGTCGAAATCCCTGAGGAAACTCGCCATTTCTGAGCGGAACCCGCCCGGGAAATGCCAGGAACCCGATGGAGAAAAGCGGTAACCATTTCCGGCTACCGGTTTTGGCATGCTTCTGTCGGTTCCGGTCCGAACCCGATAAATCCGGTCACCGGATCCGCCCATCGGGAATACCATGGAACCGGCCGTTTCTGCGCCGGATTGTTCGACCTGGGTTATGAAAACGTTTCCATCAAGATTTATATTTTGTTTAGATTTCATTGTTTTATTTTGAGGTCCGTGACATCCGTTGAATTATTCGCATCATACAACTGACTGTTATATTTAGTTGCGCAGAACAACAATTATGAAATGGAATCAGATGGCAAATATATTATTTCATGCTTCTGCTCGCTTTTTGATCGATTTCATTTTGTCAATTTAATCACCATGTCTATCGATTCAATGAATGGAAAACAACTAAGTGCTGAACTTGCGGAAGTGTGTCAACTAATCAGATAAATCTGTACATTCTCGAAAATTATTTTAGTTGGCCATTTGATTAGTTGAAAAGCCGGACAGTCCAAAGATTCTCAGTGAAATTAAGGCACCGAGATGCATCAATCCGACAACGGATCCGATAGGATTCACGTAAGGAAAGTTGGCACGATATTCGAGTTATTTTGCCAATATTCATTTCAGTATCTGTGCTGGTGTTTTAAATGGTTGTGTTGGATACAGAATTAAATTCTCTATCGAATGGTGTGGTTTTCGGTATGGATCACCGACCAAAAACCCAAGTTTTTGACGAAACAATGGGTTTTCTGGTCTTTCAGAAATTTGTAATTCTTGCTAATATTCGTCTGAGAACTTGTGCTGAGTCTAAAAATGGTTGTGTTGAACTCAGAATTTGATTCTCTATCGAATGATGTAAGTGTCGAAGGGTTTCATCGCAGGTGAGGATCTGAGTGTGGGTGTGGGTGAGGGTGTGGATGTGTGGGTGTGATAATTTTTTTGTCTCGATAACCCATGTCGAAAAATACATCATTCGATAGAGAATCAAATTCTGAGTTCAACACAACCATTTTTAGACTCAGCACAAGTTCTCAGACGAATATTAGCAAGAATTACAAATTTCTGAAAGACCAGAAAACCCATTGTTTCGTCAAAAACTTGGGTTTTTGGTCGGTGATCCATACCGAAAACCACACCATTCGATAGAGAATTTAATTCTGTATCCAACACAACCATTTAAAACACCAGCACAGATACTGAAATGAATATTGGCAAAATAACTCGAATATCGTGCCAACTTTCCTTACGTTAGGATTCTCGGTGACGGATTTGAATTGGATTCCGACGTCGGATGCCGCAAATTTGATGAGCGTTCTTTTTAGCAATATTCTACGATGGCTTCTTGCCCAGATTATTGTGGCTCGGTCGATTCCGACCAAAATCCGGCGGCAAGGAATTTGCCGAAACCGACTCAGGTTTAAACGGATCCAGTCACCGGAATGATCGGCTTGGGCTGGTTACCTGCGGGCTCCCATGTTGAATCCGATTGGATCCAATCGGGTCCGAGTATGGGATTGGTCGACCTGGGCAATCGAGGTACTAGTAGCTGTTTCGTTTAGTTCCAGTAACATATAGGTTTTTACGCTTACAGGCTCGGTTAGAACAAATCAAAGATAATAAATCGGGTGAACAATTGATGGTGAGTAGTATTAAATCGATCGCTGTTTACTTACTTCTTCATGAGCAGAAAATAGAAGATATTTTCTAATATCGAACCGTGCTTGTCACGTTAGAAGATTTCTACCATAAAGTTTTGCACGGGATCATAAAAATGACAAACCAGATAGTGAAAAACGAGTAAGGATCTTGAAAACTCGCCCTTGGCACTTTGATCTGTCGCCTTATTCGTCAGCTTTGAACAAAGCGTTGTTAACTTGCATATATTCATAGGTTTCGAGTCATATGATAAGATAGTATTGAACCGTATTTGCAGTTCACATATGACGATACAGGTTTTGCGCTCCTTGAATTCCTTATTTGATTAAGTAGCCCCTTCATCAGTGTAAACACTTTTTCGAAAATAGTGAGTGGGAGTATAATCAGTCTGAACTTGTTTTTTTTTCATTTGTAGAACAACGGAAACGACAATGAAATGGCGAAGGCTGTTTCAAAATTTTATTCGAATGGTTTGTTGCAAGGTAAGCGGCAAATACAGTAATTTTCCTATTAAGGTTTAGAAGATAGGTGAGGTTGTTGTAGATTAGTCTGTTTTATTTCTGATTGTGAGCATAAGCGAGTATAGTCTGTGACGAATCGTTCCGCCATGAGATTGAATAGTCTGTCTAAACCCAATTTGAATAATTAAAACAAGATAAAATCCATGTTGATTTCTTTCTTTCGAATAGGTCTCTCATTCTCCAGAATTATCAATTGGCTAGAGAGTTCTATCCATCCAAAGAGGGAGTAAACTTTGTGAAAAAAAGCTGCGGACTCCCACTCCATACAAATAAAAGTACCACTATTCTATGACGAATTTAATATAACATTGGGTGCGCCCGTCTTCATGGATACGAATTCGTTTCTATGCAATTTCAATGTACTCTTTTTGGTTTTTCATCCAGAACTTAAAAACTCATCTGATGATCTCATTTAGAGATCAAATTTATTTTCTTTTCAGCTGGTTCTGTATGAATATAATGAAAAAAAAAGTTCTTTGCTCAATAATCTTTTTCAATAAAGACTATTATCTTTGTCAACTTCAGCACACTGCTGACCTATTCTGGTTTATGACGGTGAATTTTACTAGAGAAAAACACGTCGAGAATATCATTGATGTTTTCAAAACGACTCTGATTGATTACTAACAACAAAAAAGACCGCATGCAAATTATAAAACGTCTTCTCCGAATTTGCTCTACCAGCACTTCTGTCGTCTCTTCATTCTTCATGACTGGATTCGTTTGATGACAATGATATTGACCCGATAAGGAACGCAGTCCGTACAAATGCTCAATATAATCTCGATATCCGCAAATCTGAATGAATAGATCCCGGCTGACGGAGAAATTAGTTAAAAGTACCGTTTTCATTTGAACAGCGTAACAACAGAGACTTTTATTAATCTCACTTTCAATGTAATTGCATAATTATGCGTATATTCTACCTAGAAAGCTATGCACAATGAAATGTACTCACTCCAAGCTGTCGTTTCACGAGAGCCATCGTTGAAGTAAAACATATATTAAAATCCATGAATATCCTTGATTGTTCATTATATTTAATCAGTTTAGTTCAAATAGCAGCCTCTTCGTCAACCTGCATTTTCTATTCGCAACATGAGAAAACCATTCTTAATGGAATCCAATTTCGACGATTTCCATCATTCATAAATGTATTGTTGCTCTGAAGTTTAAAACAAGAACCGGCCGATCCGAGAAATAGTACTGATCGTGCTGTTCATTATGGTTCAGCAGGAAACAGCCTACCGGAATTTGATATCAATAAATATTCATCATCTTTATCTTTTAGTATTACAATATCTGATTTACCTGATTGATGCCGTACTTGTTGGCGTCATAGGCAATTCTGCATATGACTTCAAGAAAGATGAAATCAAAGCAAGCGACTTCGTGAAAACCTTTCTCATCTGTACAATAATTGCCATTATATTAAACAGCGGCCAATGGTTTATTCAAGCAGCTTTAAAAAGGCAAACAAGAATCAATCCTGTTACTGCCAGCCAATAACGTCATCTTCTCCTGTCCACATTTTTTACGTGTAAATCAACTTTAATATTTGATTACAGATCATTTATTTTACTCATAAAAATAAAGCAACTACACACAGAAAAATACGAAAAGTCTAATTACAAGTTTCTTCCAGATCGTGCACGATAGTTCTGGAACCAAATACGGATCGATGATATAGGCAGTAGAAGTTGTTGAGCCAGCTGCTCTTGTTCACACGGCGTTGGATATCGATTTGTTGAGTAAACTTGACGAAGATGCCAGATTTGCCAGTCGCTTAACTTTCGACGTGACTAAAAACAAACAAATCAATCACTCCATCACGTCAATCCATTACACATACCTTTCTTTCGTTAGTTGACGCCGTCATTGACTGATGTTCATTGATCGATGCAGATGAGTTCAGTGAATTGTAACCAGTATCATCTAAACGAGAAATAGATGTTAACGGTTCGTCAAGATGAAATGTAATAAAACTAGAATTAAGCATGTTACTCACGGACTTGATTGAAATCAACGATCTTTCTTTATTAAAAAGGTGACTTACCATGTGGTTGAAGGGAAAAGGAAGAAGAGGTATTCACTGAAGATGAGATAGCTAACGATTCAACTGAATGAAAGTTCACTCGTGCTTTGCTCGCTCGATGTGGTGTACTTGTGATGATATGACTGATTCGCTGAATAGAAGCACTAAAACAATCAACGATTCGTGTTTTCCTTCAAATATTGTTTTGTTGAGATCTCACTTTGGACTTGCATTGCAAACATCGATGTCAGATGAGTTGTGATCGTCGAGAAGAGAATGCATGTTTTCCAACTTGTGATGTTCATCAGATGATGAATGAAGATATTTATATGCATAATCACTTAGAGAAGGTAAGAAGTAATCAATCAATTAGTGACGTAAATCAATTACGATGATCTGATGATGAGGATGAGGTGAATCGATGTGCATGAGGTGAGTTGGTTCGATTGTTTGGAAGTGGATTATAGAATGCATTTCAATTTACACATGGCGAAGAGAGCGTTTCCAGTTGGATATGGGATTAAACGAAGGAGCTGTGGAATTCAGATAGGAAATATGAAAATGGATAGATGGTGGTGTTTGTAAGTTGTGAACATGAAAAAGTGTAGTGCTTTAATTGAAATTAATTGATTTCAAAGAATTTTCGATTTCTTCCCGCAGAAGTCGGAAAATGTTCGAATTCAAAGCAGTCGTTCGTAAAAATTCAGCAGTTATATCAGAAAGTGGTTGATTGTTTCGGTTGAAAAACAGTCTATCTTAGTTAATGTAGTAATACACTAAATCGTATCTTTGATTGCATGAACGTATTTGTCGTTCTTTTAAATTTCTTCAGCGAAGAAGCACCGCACATTGTATAAATGTAATGCGATCAATGTCGGCGATCGATTAGTAGTATTGAACAGAATCGTTTAATGTTTGATTGCTATTCTATGGCGAAGAATAGTCCATGTAGAGAAAGGTCTGAGCTGTTCATTATTTCGTGCAGTTGAACTTATACACAAGGAAGAGTTTTTATGATTAATCGATGAAATCTTATATTTGAATAGGGAAAGAAGCGATTTGATTCGCGTGCAAAGTATGAAATTCAAGGCAATACCTATTTGTTGATAGTGACATCGATATATCCTTATTATACTTGTAAGTTGTTTTAGTGAAAGGGAGTTAATGTTGTTTTTTCGTGATTATTATATCGATTTCGTTTTTTTTTCATTTCTTCTTTCCTCTTCAATACCAATATAATAATCCGTATGTCAAGTGGAGGAGAGTGACTATTTTACTTCTCGTAATGTAAAAATAACAAGATCAATAAAAAAAAGTTCGATATATATATGCGCCTATCAAATGATGAGAAACCCCAGTAGTAGATTATTAACAGTTGTGAGTTTTGAGAATTAGACACATATCATGGGTTTGACGAAATCTAAAACAACAAATAATACTCTATTAAATGGTGAAAAATCATCATTGTTATCATCGTGTGGAAGCTTCCGAAGCAAAGACAAACGTCTTAGCAAACGACGGTTGTGTTCGAAGAAAAAAGTTTTAATGTTAGGATTGGATCGAAGTGGAAAAACAGATTTGTTTCATCGATTAATTTCCTGTGACCAACCATCTCTTAAAATCGATGCATTTCCTCAACCAACAATGGGTAAACTAAGAATCGATGTCACTCTTCTGTTGTATAATTTGTCCTTGTGTAGGTTATAATGTTGAAACAATCGGCGTTCGTTGTTGTCATTTAAATCATCATCAGTATCATAAAATAACGTTGTGGGACTGTGGTGGTCATGCATCTGTTCGATCATTATGGCCATATCATTATTCAAACACATCTCTTCTCCTTTGGCTAATTAATATTCATGATCGTAAACGATTAGACATGAATCTTCAATTACTTTCCCAAGTTCTCAATAATTCCTTACTTTATCAAGTTCCTGTTCTTATTGTTTTATATCATTCATCTTTCAATCCATTTGAAGTCAATAGTAGTGCTGATGAAGAAAATTTGTTAACTAATCTTGAAGTTGCCTTTCGTTTTCTTGCAACACTTTCGACATCACGTGCTAGTTCGTTCAAATGGCAAGTGATCAATGTAACAGTAAATGAAAAAGATTGTCAAACAGATCTGAAAAAGATTCGAGAATGTTTTCGAGAACTGATGGAATTGTAAAAAAAGACCAACAAAAGAATTTTTATATGATTTCATTTTGTAAGATAAAGAAAAGGCTCGATCGTTATTTGATTTTCTACTGCGAAAGTTATCGACATTCCAGTCATGGAAACTAAATGATACTATGTATGACTATTAAAGATTAATATCCTCATCAGGTAAATAATTTTCTTTGGATAGAAATTTTCAATAGAAATCTTCGTTTATACTTTGACACATATGGAAATATTCTTTACCATAATGTCGTCATATCGAGGAAAATGATGACTATCAAGGTTGATAATGACGGTATTCAATGTAGTGCAACTACTATATTATATAAAAGTCGCTTTGTTGTAATGCAATATGATTTCAATAAACAAATTATAACAGCTCATGAAATTTTAAATCAGAAGAGAGAAAATTTAATGCAATTTGAAAACAGACATGAGAATGTGAAGCAAATGAAGATTTATGAAAAAGAATTAGAGGTACACGGAGCAAAAATTAAAAGAGAAACGGATCCATGTGAGATTGTTTTTCCTTATAAACGCATTTGTTTTGCGTTTCAAAGTTACTTGGGGAACATATTCTCATTGTGGACATTGTCTGTCGGAATTCCGCAATGAATAAATACCTATTTCTAATATGGACATGATGAAAATGGTTGAAAGATGCAAAAGAAATAATATTAATCAATTGTATAAGTTTAATGAGTTGATTGTAAGTGATTCGAGAGAACGCGTAATAATTATTGTTGGAGATGGAAAAGAAAATCTTGAGAGTGGGATGGTGACAAGGATCTCAAGTTGGGAGTAAATTCTAGGAAACAAGAAAAATGTTAGGAGAATTCTTTTTCGTAAAGAGATGCAACTCAAAATGGTTACCCTCTAGTATACACAGTGGGAAAAACAGAAATATTTCAAACATATTGGCATCACTATTTTCTGTACAGGTTTTTAACACGTCAGATTTTCAAAATTGATATTTTTTATTAACTTAATTTACAAGATGGTTATAAATTTTCTGGTGGTACACTACGCTTTTAATAACAATGCCAATCTTCAAACGATCAATTTTTCAATCAAATCAATCTCGATGCAACTGATAGAATTAGTTTTATTCGATTCAAAATGATAGTAATTCAAACTCCGGATCTATATAACTGTCAGAACAACTGCAATCGAAATCAGATGTCTCTATCGTTTAATAAATCGTGTTGGCGATCGAGTACTCAATGTTTTGAATTGCAGCGAAAATGATGAAGAGTACTGATTATCCAAAATCAATGGATTAATATACCAATGTGTACTACGATTGACGGTGTTCTATACTTCAATAACAAACTTAGAAAAAATTGAAACGAAAATGATCTGATTGAATTATACAGTTATTATGTTAGTTATTCGACAGATTAAGATGATCAATTAGCACCGGTAAGAAATTTGCCGGTAAATAATGTAAGATTTTGTCGAACTTCTCGAATATAGAACAAAAATGGACGATCAGCTCGAAACAAAATTGGCTGTGGTTTGCGTCGTCCAATTCCTTTTGTCACTGCTAAGACAGCTGTAGCTGCAGCCGCTTCGGTTCCTATAAAACACATTGACAATTTTTCATTTCATTTCTATGCTTAGATTCTTACCTTGTTCATTAACATCAATGAATGCTTTATGAACAACCTAAAATCATCAAATAGAAAAGTTTGTCTAACAAACTTTTTACTGTACTTTACTAATAAATAAACGAAATTGATCATCTTGTTCCTTAACAATATCATTAAAATCTGCTTTATTTTCATCAAATGCATTTCTCATTCCAAGTTGTTCTAGAACATTTTTTAATTCACATGAAAATTCCATTTTAAATTTTGGTATGTACAACAATAATTCTTGTGATGTTGTATTTCGTTGATCAAGCATATCTTCTAAAAAATTTTCTTTCGATGAAAACTTTTCTTCAATTTCTGATAATAAAACACTTTCATTTGGTAAAACTATTGTGAAAACAAATTGAACATGTTGGTTGTTACTTTTATACGGAATATGAACAATTTGAATACGTAAAGATTTATTTTCTTTATAAGCGAATTTCCCATATTGATACATTAAACTAATTTTTGAAATCGTACCATTAATTTCATGAAACTTGGCATTATGATTAGTTTCACGTTCATTGAATTGTTTGACCCATATACCCTAAAAGATAAAAGACAAACAAAATGAATATTTTTTTAGTGAAAATGTGTTTCATACTTTGAAATAAATACAATTGATGAGAATTAATCGTATTTCTGCTTGAATATCACTTGGTGAGAGGAGATTTTTTATTAATTGATTTGTTTGATCTTCAACCCAAGCATTGATTGTTTGAACAATTTGCTCATTTTTGTTCGTAAAATCTTCAAGTTTCATATCGGCTGAAAAAGATTTCTGAATAATTTGTAAAAATTCTTCTTGAATTTCATAGTCTTTCTGAGCATAAAGACGATTGGCTAATTTCAGTTGAATTTGCCGATCTTCATCAACTAAATTGAAGATACGAAGAATTTGTTCAGATGATTTAATTAATTCTTCTTTCGATGTGAATCCAAGTGTATTTAGCATTTGATTTAATGTTTCATGTCGAGCACCAATAGTACACATTGACATAGCTAAAGCAATACTTGATGGCGAAAGGAATATGTTGTCACCAGCTTGAGTTTGATTAATGGTTGAATACAGTTTTTGATTAAAATGTTTGAAACCATTTGCAGTAGATATTGACGTTCCCATGATTTTCAATTGTGTGTGTGTGTGTAGAAAATTTGGTAATAAAAAAAGTTTTTATATACTTGAATTTTCTTATCAATATTTATTTAGTTATAGTAAACGCATTTATGAAAGTTATACGATGAATAAGGATTGAATCATCATTATTATATACGTTTCATATCTATACATATTTTAACTTGTCTGCTTCCATCTATGACTCACATATGTTTCTTTATTTAATACTATTTCTCAACTATGATTAGTTTTTATATAGCAAATAAGCGAACAGGTACCCGTCGATGAGTAAGTATTTTTTATCTTTATTAACAATCTAACTAGGTCGTTTGAAAATAGTTAAATATGGTGAATTTATTGATTTAGGTGTTTATTTTTACTTTATTATCAAGTTCTGTTGTGTATGCTGACAAAAGACCTGTTATCATTGACTCCATCGTGAGGACGATGATAACGATCTCAATAAAGCGATACAACTCGAATGGTTATCCTCTGTTGTACACTAGAGAAAAAAACAGATATTTTAAACATATTGATATTTCTATTTTCTATTGTTTTCTAACATGTGGAATTTTCAAAGTTGATATTTTTTTAATTGCTATTGAACATCATCAGAAGTTCTTTATATTCTCAATACAATCAAATATTAAACGTGAACTGAATGATATTTCTTTAGTTTTAATCGAGATTTAATGGCATGTACAATATCGAACTTTTAAAGGAACGATTGAATTTCTTGTAAAAACAAATTCGCCACAATCCTTTTCAAAGAATTGGATTTTACACACAGCAAAACATGCTTTATTTCCCTATTATTATTAATATGAAAGAGGATTTATTCAAAAAGTAATCTAAACAAAAAGAAGAGCATTGCCAGCTGATTCGGTGACCTTCTCTGGTTTCGAGAAAATTTTGCAGTAAAATCGAAATAAACGAAAGGAGCCACATAGGCAATTTGATACAGAAAAAAATGCTCTACAAGATGTGCTATTTTTCCGCGCGCTACATTGGCTTTAGCCGGATACGCGAAACACACTAAAAACCTGCTATAGTCGCCTTTTTCGTGATTTTTCACATGTTTTCTTGAAAAATTTTGTGCAACTTCATGTTTGAACTGAAAAGAATCTTGTAGAACTTTTTAAGCTGAACATTCCTATGTCAAAATATTCAACATTTGACTATTTTTTCGTCACAATGAACGACGAAAATTTATTTGATATATATGAAAGGTGAGATTTATTAGTTCAGACATTTGCTCCATCCATTCCAATCATAAATTTTCAGTCGTACCCATATCCTCACTCACACCCTCAATATTTCGTTGAATGAAAAAATATCAACAAAAGAATTTTTGTATGTTTTCACTTTGTAGGAAAAAGAAAAGGCTCGTTCGTTATTTGACTTTCTACTGCGAAGGTTATCGACATTCCAGTTATGGAAATGTGACAAATCCAAATCAGCAGATGACATGCGTCAATGTTACATTTGTTGTCTTTCTACGAGAGTGCCCTTTAGATAAACTAATTGCTGATATGACAGACTGATATTTTCTGTATATCTGATAGCGAAAGAATATATGTCCTGAGTAGATCTTCTATCATTTTGCATTTGTGCGTCGAGAACCATGATGACGATTCCATCGGTATTCGTTTTATGCTTGTGCTTGGGATTGATCCATCTGAATGAAGGTCAATTAATTCATAAACTGCAGGATAAAATCAAGAAAGTTGCATCACAGAACTTAGGTCTCGATGTGACCCGTTACGATCATGAAGAAATGATGCTGTTTCCTAACGTTGGTTTTCAACGTAAGGAAGGAGATTGGCGTTTGAATTTACATGGTTGGCGTTTTCAAACATCGAAAAAGAATAAATTTCTTGGTGAATCATCATCGGCGATGGCACAACGTATTGCGCGTTTAGTCGCCAGTACCGAACAGGCTGTTTACTATAATGATACATTTCAACGTGATCGATTAAAACCATTTATGGTTCAAGATGAAACACATGAAAAAATTCATATTATGATCGGAACAAAACATAATTACACAACGAAAACAGATGGTGAAGGACAATTTCGAACGTCATTTATTATTCCGAATGAAGATGTGCAAGAATTAAAACGAGCTTCGAAAAATAATCAAATTGTGACATATAAAGCAATCGGAGATAATGCAGACTTGTGGGAAGGAAAAATTCATTTGTTGGAACGGAATGGATTGTCAGTCATTTCGGATATTGACGATACGATTAAAATTAGTGAAGTTTTAGATAAAGTTCGGTTAGTCGCAAATACATTCATTCACGGATTTCGTGTTGTTGAAGGTAAAATGATGCTTTCTTTATTCACGATTCTAATACCGATACTTTCGTTTGATAAAAGGAATGCCGGAAGTTTATCGAGGATGGCAAAACAGATACAATTGCTCATTTCATTATCTAAGTGCCATGCCAGATCAATTGTATACGATTACGAAGGATTTCATTGATGATCACAAGTTTCCTGATGGAACTTTTCATATGCGGTAAGAAAATCTACTCGATTACTTTTGTAATGATTTCGGATTTCACAGACACTTTCGTTGGGCTTCGACATCAATTTACAATTTCGTTCACTCTGTTGGTAAGTAACTTTTTCGACTTTGATAAGCACACACTTGTAGATGACATTGAATTTAGATACAAAAATGCATAAAATCAACCATTTACGTTATTTTGTGTTCAATAGCTTACGTCAATTAGTATTAGTTGGAGATTCGGGCGAACGAGATCCGGAGATTTATGGTAATGTCGCAAGAATGTATCCTAAACGTGTCCGTCGCATTTTCATTCGTGCTGTTAAAAACGAGAAAGATGATGACGATCGTTTTCTCAAAGCATTCAAAGATGTTCCAAGAGAAAAATGGATGATTTTTCGAGATCCTGTTCGAGATTTACCCAAAAATTTGGATGCTCCGCCATCTGCTCCACAACCCACAACAAAGACACCATCAAAGAAACCTAAATCAAATCCCAAATAATCTTCACGAAAACTTTTTTGCTTCTTCATATATATCTAAACTCTTTTATAACTTTTGAAATATAAATTCAGCTTTTTCTTTTCTCAACTATGAGAATAAATTTTCATGTTTTGTCAAGTGCGCCATCTACAATCAATGTTATGTTCACCAATCGTGAAGCGAGTGCGAAGAATACTCGTTGTCTGTCAGTCACATCGTACTTAATTGAAATATTTCATTATTAGTCAGTGATGATTACGAAAAACTTTTCTGGTGCTCTTCAATTAACTGATCTAGATGATTTTATTGGACCTTCACAAGTATTTTCTCTATTATTTATTCAAGCTTTTCATTGCTTTTTGTACATCGATCTTTTTAGCAATGTATAATACCGATGCAAACAAATATTGCAGATAATTCGGATGATGGTTTAATCAAATTGCGCACAAAGAAATCCGATGTAAACATCGTATCTTGTCTTTCGATTTCATTCATTGATTGTTGACCTTTTTATAGAAAACTGAAGCAGAATCGACACCAAAAGTAGCAAAAATCACATTGAATGATTGTTTAGCATGTAGTGGATGTATCACATCAGCTGAAAGTATCCTCATTGATCAGCAAGATTATCGTGAAGCACAACGTACAATTAAACTTGTTCAATCGCTCGATAAAAATGCATGTTTTCTGTTCTAATGTAGACTTTCTTCATTGTTTTCTCTTTTTTAGGATCCGAATAAAAAACAAATTGTACTTTCCATTTCACCGCAAAGCCTGTCATCGCTGGCAGTTAGATACAAATTAGACGGATTGACCTGTGCTCGACGTGTAACATCGTTCCTGAAAACAAAGTACGAATATTGCACTTAATTTTGTAATTTACCTTCATTATGACTGCGTAGATTAGGAATTGATCATGTTTATGATGTTGCCTATGCAAGAAATTCGGCTCTGATTGAAATCAAAAACGAATTTTTACAAAGATTTCAAAATAATCGTCAAAATCTACCTTTACTCACTTCTGAATGTCCAGGTTGGATATGTTATGCTGAGAAAACTCAAGGCGAATACATCATTCCGTACATCAGTCGAGTTAAATCTCCACAACAAATTCTCGGTTCATTAGTAAAAAATAATCCAAATGAAAATATTTATCATATATCAGTTCAACCTTGTTATGATAAAAAACTTGAAGCATCACGACAAGACTTTTATAATGAACAACGACAACAGTACGATATTGATTGTGTTATATCAACTGGTAGGACTTCATTTGCATTGAGCGAGAATTTTGCATGTTCTTTTTTCCAGGTGAATTCGAGAAATGGTTAGTAGAAGAGCAGTTTGATCCAGAATGTTCATCAGAACTTGATTATGATAAACCGTGAGTTAGTTATCGTTTTCTTTCTTTTATTATTTGGTCTGAATAGGTATACAATGAAAGATGAGAATGACCAAATGATTCTTACACATCGCGGCAGCGGATCAGGTGGTTATCTTGATTATGTTTTTCGTTCAGCTGCAAAAGACTTATTTCATATCGACATGGATGATAAATCGTTAGAATTCAAAGTCACACGGTAAGTGTTTAAAATATATAACTATTGATTCACCTTTGTCTTGTTTTAGTAATCAAGATTTCCGTGAAACAGTTCTAACAGTCGATGGGCAGGTTCAACTTCGTTTTGCTTACGCGTATGGCTTTCGAAATATCCAGAACATTGTCCAAAAACTGAAACGAAATAAATGCGAATACGATTTTGTCGAGATCATGGCATGTCCGTCTGGATGCGTCAATGGTGGTGGACAAATCCGCAGTACCGACGTCACTCTTGATGATGTTCGACGTACATACGAATCATTACCACATCTAGATCACCCGTTAGACTTGAGAATTGATGAAGAGAATTCCATTCCGTTGTATACGAATTATCGTGCGATTGAAAAATCTTCATCGAATGGTTTTAGTTTGAAATGGTGATTTTGTTTTTGATTGTATTCATTTATTTATTTCAGATAAATCAGTAATATGTCGGCAGATATTCTTGCTAATCCTCAATTAGACGCCTATGATAACGATGAAATACAGTTGATGGACACGGATGAAACGAATTTGAATCTGGAAGAAGAACAACAATTGCTACAAGTACCGACAGATGTTGCTGAACAATCCGAGGAAAAAGAAGAAGCAAAGAAAAGGGAAGAAGTACCATCATTACTTGTCATTGAGGTTTGTTCGATTTGTGTCAACTGAAATCTATTAACTTGAATTCGTTTAGAAAATGAAAGTTTATATTCGAGATGGACCTAACAATCATCATGTTGAAGCAATACCCGTCGTATGTTTCGAAACTTTTCCTTTGCTCTGAAAATCAATATTTTCCATTTGACTTAGGACGATAAATACTATGAATTACCAAATGCAGATGAATTGGCGACAATTGAACTTACGGAAGAAAGTGCTAATGAAGTTTGGCAAAGGTAATCAACAATTCATTTTTCAGTCCGTTTACCAGAATATTCTGGAATTTTAGTTTAAATTTAACTACTGATGATTTTCGAACATCGGTAACTCCAGGTGGAATCTCTCGTCCTGAATCTCTTTACGTTCGTGGTGTGAAAAACATGAGTACACAAGAAATTTTCAATTGTTTCGAAGAATTTCAACCTATCGGAATCGAATGGATTAGCGATCATTCTTGCAATATTTTCTGGCATGATACATTAACTCCACTTCAAGTTCTCTCAAAACAATGCGCACCAGGACCGTCTATATCTCATCGCCGCCCAGTAAACTATGATCACGCTATGCGATTATCCAAACGAAAGGCGTCGGAAATGACCGATAGTGAAAATAACTCAGCGGATATTGCACTTCCGCCTGGCCACTGGCGAGAAGGTAACTTTCCATTAGCAGACAAACCAGACTCAACGGTTAAGTTATATGTTCGATATACAACGTTGGAGGATCGAAAAGTACGTGGAGCAGAAAATCAATCGGAATATTATCGAACTCATGGAAATCCAAACTATGAGTAAGAAAAGCTGTTTTTCGAGTTCGCTTTTTCGAACGTCTCCTTTTAACTCTAGTAATATGACCGGACTCATATCTCGATCGAAAAAACGTGCAATGAATGCGATGAAGGCAAATCGTTTTCGAGATTTTACGGTAGTCAAATCAAGTGATCCGAAGTCTACGTCGAATAGCATCGTTGAAGAAGTATCAAACGTAACTGAAGATAATAATACAACAGATGCAAAGGTGAAATTTACTGTTGTCCTTCCGCCGAAAAAGGGTTCGCCGAGTAAAGAGGAAGATGACGACGACGACGAAGGTAATCATCGATCGAAACGACACCGGCGACGATCACGGGATGATGACGATGGTGATAACAATGATGATTATCAAAAACGAAGAGGCAAAACGCATTTTACGGTAACGATGGATTCAGTGTCGAGAAATTCAAGAGATAGACGAGAGGAAACATCTCGATTAAATCGAAGGTAAGATATGATTAAATGGTGAGTTTATTTGAATTATGGATTTTATTTTAGTCATGATGATGACGATGGTACTACATCGGTTACTGATGCAAGACAAATTCTGGAAAGAAAACGACGTCAACGATGATAATTGTGCAATTAGTTTATTTGTTTTTGTTTCTTTCGTGTATTATACTAAACAAAAAAGACTGTATTCAGTGCCTATCTCATTGAAAAATCATGTTTATTGTGTTTTCTGTTGTATTGCATCGATATTTTCATGCGATCTAAGCTTTATTCAACATGATTCGATCGAAAGTCCGTTGAATTACTGCGTAAAACGTATTCTTTTCTTCAAAAATACCGATTTGATGGGTTATAGCGTTTTCCAGGAAATTCGTTTCAAACTGGCTCTGCATACAATTTCCCGGCAATCGCTATAATGCATCATATGTTCGATGGTCTCTGTCGACTTATTTTATGCGTTCTTATTACCAGCTATTCCAGATTCAACTGAATTTTTGAAAACTATTTATTTGGGTGTTTTTAGGTGTCAAACAAACCATAGTAGAAAGAAAAACTCAAAAAGTAAGGGTTAATGAATAATGAGAAAAGCGAGAGAAAGTTTCTCCAGTAATCTGTTTCTGTTGATTGATCTGTTTATACTTGACTGGATTCGATTAGCTTCCGATCGAAATGTTTGTGGTATTTTTCTAACTCCTTGATAGTATTCTTCAAATCATCTAAATGTATATTCAGTGGTTGTATTCGTGCAGCGTCCAAACGTGAAGCGGCTTCTCTTGTTGATAGAATGGTATGTGCAAATGTGTTTAATCGGTCGATGGCATCTTTAATCTGACGTTGTGCTTCTTCTCTATATTTTGAAAACCCTTGCAGGAAATCGATGTTTTTTTTATGCACATCTTTATTCATATCGCCATCACCAAGTGTGTTCCTATACAGCTTCGTTAAGATTCCATAATTGTCATGGTCTTTTATTTTCTTTTCTTTGACGCAGCGGAGTTCTCCAGTCATGATCTCTATCTGTGAAACTTTATCACTGAGATTTTCTGAAACAATAATTCAAAGAACATGTTTTAATAGTTGTTTATTCAACTATAGTGTAAGCTCATCGTTTTGTACTTCTCAGAGCTTGCAAAGATCTACGCTCCGCCGAAAAGTCAATAGTTAATAAAAAGTTTTCTGGCGCAGTCTCCTCGGTGTTAAAACGTAAAACTCATATATTCCTTATGTTGGAAGATTTTTGTATTAGAGAAGTTTTTCTCAACAAAGTCATAACAAATGAGCAACTGCATAAGAAGATCTCGCTCTGAGAAAGTCCTGTTACTAATTCCCATAGTCGATTTAAAGACTAATTTCTAGTTGGAAGCTGTATACAAATTTAGAAAAAAGTATGCAAAGGGTGATGTTTACATTTTCGGATATTTTCGATTCTGAAGACACGAATAATAATCTATGATGTTTTTCCATGAAACTACATTACCTAAATTTGACTCGGTATTTTGTGACATATTGTAAGCAATTCCTATAGTATGTATAAGTTCATCCAAATCGGCTATAAACTGCTCTGGAACTATTGCCACTTCTATTGGTTCTGGTTTCTGCCACAATCGCGACACAATAGTTCTTTTATCTGAAAGATGCGCGTATAGCTTGTTTGCGTATTTCACTAATCCACCCAAAGCATTATTGTGTGCCCTTAACATTCCGCGTATCCCACGTTTAGTTGTCCGAGCTGAATCTACGATTTGCTCAATCATCCCGTAGAAATCATTTTTTTCTATCTGATCCAAATCACTGAACGATATTCTTCCTTTTAAATCACTGAACGACAACTCCACATCGCCCAACTTGCTGCTGATATAAACATCAGTATTTGCTAAGCCTTTTGATAATGTAAGACCTTGGTCTATCGCTGGATTCAGTGGTGGTTGATTTTCCGTGCCATTTGCGTCCAAAATATATTGACAAAATTCTTTTGTGAATGATGAATCAATAATGGGTTGTTTACAAAAAGCTTCATATGCATAATGTCTGTTAACAAATAGACACACCATAGAAAAAATTAATCCGGTAGACTTCAACATTATGATCGTTTTCAATGAAGGCCGAAGCGTTGTGAATAGTTCAACGGCGAAATCACAGGCTTTATTTAATAGCCAATTATTTTGCGGCGGATTTGGCTGCTGATCGTTTGTTGCTACAAAGAAAAAAGTACTATAAAAAGTATAGTTAAGAAGAAATGTTGTTTTACCTGGTGGCTGTGCTTCGTTTGAACTCTGAGTGTTGGCGTTTCTTCTGTGATGTAGTTCCATCTTTGTATATTCGTGATGGGAATAAGCTTGTTTTCGCCCATTATCATGTGTATATACCCTCTCTAGTTGGTAATTTCCCTTTGCTGTGACAGATGTTGTGACGATCTTTTTCGCATGCTATTTGTCCCTACTTCGGTACATGTTTGTGTACTTTGGCCTTATCCTTCCTTACTTTCTATCGAGAGAAGGGTTTATAAACGTGTATTCTGTATTAGAACGATGCGATTGATGATAGGAAGAAATAAAGAAAGACATGATTCCATCGGGATACACATCTCTTCCATCTGAAATCGTCATAGATGTTTCTTAATGATTGGTAGCTTTTTCGGAAATTTCCTTTGAGAGAATAGGTAAGTCGTAGTCATTTTAATACGTGATAAGCGCTACACGGTTAAATATTGAAATCCAATCCTGATAAAAAAAATCTATGACTTCAGTAGGAAAAAACGAAAGAATGATTTTGATTCACAACAAAATCGAACGTCGCTTTCTCGTTCTTTCCTCCCTTTGTAAGTATGTATGTGACATTGATATGTCACGGGATTTATCATATTATTCATAGTCATGATGATTCTTTTCGTTTGAAATTTAGTTTTACCTACGTTTTACCATTGTTGGTTAAAGCCCATGAATGTCTCAGGCACACGTACTCTTTGTCGAATCTTTATTTCTTGGGAAAAAGATAGAACTACACTCTAGAAATGTGTTACAGAAAAGAGAATTCAATGGATCTTTTATTAAAATATGCACGATTTTCATCACCAATAATAAGACGCACGAAAAAAAAACGAACAAAACTCGCATAAAAATAGAATTCATATTGTATGAAACGAAAATAAAAATGTTAGAGAGAAGGAGAGAGAGAGAGAAATGTTTGATTCACTTATCTAATTAATCTATAAACACTAAAGCACACACATTTCAAAAGGGATTTTCATTTGTTTTTCCTTTCAATAGCGATAACTTGAGTAGATTCCATATCGACCAGTTAAATTCGTCGATGCAATGTATCTCGACGGTAGGACATGTTCTATGTCACTATCGCTATCATATTTTGTACTATAAAGAGAAGTGCTTAGCGGCAATTCATAACTACTAGTATAGGCAGTACGAGTGCGAGTGGGAAGACGTGACGAAACATCATAGGTACGTGTTCGATAACCTAAAATATATCGATATAAGTCGAAAGTATGGTTGGAAAGAATCATTTGTCATACTAGAACTGGTATAGGATGGTCGAGTTCTTGCTAATTCATGTTCAGCTGATCTTAAACGTGTTTGAGCTTCTTCCAGTTGATTTCTTAATTTGGCGCAAAGTGATAGTGCTGCTTCAGTGATAACTTGTTGAGGAATCAGTTGATTATTTTTACATGCAGCAATGGTTTCTTCCGTTACACGTGAAAAATCTATTTGATTAAGTAATTCTTCTCGTTCTGCATTACTCATTTGTGTCGATTTTTCTGCAAATGACAAAAGAAAATTTACCGGAAAATGACAAAGACTATGTACCATTTTTCAGAATATCATCAAGTGCAAGGAGAAGACTGTCATGTGAAGTACGCTGATCTTTTGGTATACACGTTGCTAATTTGACAAATTGTTCGCTGGTCAACGTTCCACGTTGACGAAGTTGTTCAACGTACGAATCGATCAATATTGATAACTGAAACAAATCGACTTGAAATTCGAAATAAAATGTCTTCACAATGAATTACTTTCGCTAATAATTGTGGATCTTTTGTGTGTTCGTCTTTATGTTTACTAACGCGTTCCAGCAATCTTGTCATAACATCATCGGATATATTTTCCATATTATCTTCGATGTCGGATGAATTTAAAAATGATTGAGTAATGAACGATGATAATATCGGTTCACATTCACATTTCAATTCAACAGCTTTTTCATAAACCGAATTATGCCATGATAATGGTAATTGTTCTAAGGCATTACCTAATTCTTTGACAATTTGATCGAGTATTGCTCGTTTTTCGTCGGCAGTTTTACTTGGTACATCTTCCTTTCGTGCAACTGGTGTGAATGCACTTTGATGTTCGCTTGCTTGGTCAGTTGTTGCTGTTGTTGTTGTTGTTGTTTCTGCTGCTGGTGTTGCGGCAGTCATTGTTGTGGAAGATGGTGGATGATTCTGAGTTGAAGCTTGATCCAAAACATTCGCATTGATATAATGTTTTGCAAATGGAAGAACTGCACTCTTATTGTCACCTGGACATAATTTAATCAATTCAATGATCCATTCAAGCGGTAAACGACTGATAATTTCTCGATCTGATTTAGTTAATTGTGAACCAGCTCCGAATGATAACGATTCATAGATCGCTTGTAGACATTTGTCGACAATATGGGCTTGTTTCGCCCATTGTTGACATTGGCCGATGCATTGTTCGAGTAAGACTAATGGAATTCCTAGATCGTATTTAATTCGTGCAACGGAAAGTATTTTATCGAAACGTTCGTCAAGCAATGCACCCAATGTCTCACATTCAACGAAACAGGCCGCTGCGCGCAGTGGAACGATGTTTTTATGATCGATGGAAATCGGAATGGAATAAAAATAATCGGCGAGTTGATTGAAAACATCAACACCGCCTGGAAAATCATTTAATTGAACAACATAAGGTTGCGAACTTGACGATGCAACAGCTTTTTTAAAATAATCACTTTTAGTAAACAATGGAAATGTGTGAAGTTTAAATTCCGTTGAATTGACAACCACCGTTATGTTAGATAATTCACCAGTACGACGAAACTTTTCGTAACTCATTCTCTACGACAAAAAGAAAAGAATCAAGCATGAAATGCTGCTGTTGCGGCTAATGATGTTGACAATGAAGAGAAAAGAAAAAAAAATATATTTGTTCAACCTTGTATAGGTTTCGTCCAAGACAAAAAGAAAGAGAGGAGAAAAAAGAGAGTACGACACAAGTGCCGTTCACACGTAGGAGTAGCTGGAAAAAAAAACAAAGAAATTCACTTCAGTTGAACTTTGACGACCCTATGAATAATGATTCTTCCTTCTTTTTCAAATTGTAATATGCTTCTGTGCATCGGCGGACGATTTCTTTTCCTAAAAATAAAGTTTGTGTTTTGCTTTCGAAAGAGAATTTTTGCGAGAGATTGTGGCTTATCGCGAAAACAACAAAGCCGCTACTGTTGACGTCATTTTTCAGACGCGAAAAGACGAAAATGTGTTTAGAAATATGATTGATCGCGGTCTCGACGAGGTTTCAAATGACTATCGTATGCATGGAAATATTTGTTGATGAAGAAAACGCAAATACGTTTATATTTGAGATTGACTGACAGATTCGTTTGTTGTTGTTATTGATGTTCTTGTTTTCATACAAGAGAATAGTAGGTCATGTGTTTTGAAATGATAAAATCAAATTAAACTTTGATAGAGGAAAAGAGAGTAAGAAAAGTTTGCAGAACTGTTTTTTTTCTCTTCTATTTCAAGCAGTTTTTACGCCCAAGAGAAATTTTTGTTTTCACTTTTGTTTATATCTTCATTTCGAAAAGATTGTCGAATGCAATGAATTACTTTTAGACAAAACAAATCAATTAATGCGTAACTTCGACACACGATACAAAAAGAGCGATGCACATAACTTTCGAATATCCATTTGATAAAAATCACCTTAGCAACCATAATTCCGTCTTTTGTTTGTCTAAATGTCTAACTATACTCTAATTGATCCTGTGAATTTTATTGTTGACATTGACTCTCCAGGATTTTAGTCAAGTGATCAGTACTATAAGACAGACTTTTTCTGTTTAGAGCTTTTCTTATGTCATTATTCGATACACTTTGTTCGGATGGATGAAACTAAAAAAATTTTTCAAACTCGATGGAAAAGAACACGAATTAACTTCTGATTGTTAAGATTAGAACGGAATATTTATTTTGACAATAACATAAAAGTTCCATAAAAAACACACAAATATAATCTGCGGTCTTCTGTTGATCTAAACTTATGCTTCAAATCGTTTTACACATAAGAAAAAAGAAATCTGTGTTTATTTAAGTTCACCAGGAATTCGATCGAATCGAACTTTATTTTTCTTTCCAATCTCACCTTCATCCAGAAAATGTTCGATACATTTGAATAAGATCTCCCAGATAAACACCAAAGATAGATGATATTACTATACGCGAATAGCACTTTGTATTAGATTGAAATCTGTGTCGTTCATCGATAGAATGTTTATTTTGAAAATCATAAAAGTTTCATCAAAATATACAATCATTATCTAATGTTCTAATTCTCTATTCACAAACGTCAAAGAGTAAAAAGAAAAACAAACTCATACATCGAATTTTTTACATAGAAAAATAAACTTGTGTTTGTTTAAGTTCATCAAAAATATCATTCAATGGAACCTGAGTTTTCTTGCCAAATAAAAACGTAAATGCTTTTCGATTATCGTTCAAAAATGAGCCAATTTTGTGATAATTCGCCATGATGATTTCTTCATTTTTACTGATCGGTACATAGCTAAATAAGAAGATTGTTTTACCACAGACAAACCTAAACAAATTCATTCGATTTTAAACAAAGAGTTTCAAGAAAAGATTCATCATACCACAAACAATTCGATTTCTGTTGAGAATCATGTGCAAGTCTGAAAACAGATGCATGTGGCCACCAGCCAACTAAATTTTTCGTTCGAAAAGGATTCGTCTCTTGAGTTTTGCGTAACACACTCAACGGAATCGCCGTTGGATAAGTTCTAGTCATATAAGAAAACATTCGAGAACAGAGAAAACGTCAAATAAGTAACAAACTCATGTTCACCCCGAACAGCATCAGTTTCATTTTCAAACCATTGATGAATAAGTGGCATCATTCGTATCAGATCGAACTCTTTCGGAGTTGGTGCCATAGCGAAATGTTTTTCCAGTTCGTTCAATAATCGTTCTTGTTCATTTTCGCCTGATTTAACATAAACGAACGCATTCTGCACAAGAAGTAATGTTCCAGTTGGAATGGCACATTTAGCATAAGCTTGGTCACGTCGTTTTTTGATCAATGATGTGTTATCGAAATTGGAATGGAATGTTTCAAAATCAAAAACAGTTTTTTGATCGAAATATTGCTGGTGAAACATCTTTTTCACATCGTAAATTCCATGTGCACATTCGTCCTTTATGCGAGTCAAATTTGAGTTCAATTGATCGAAATCCGGTGCATATTTCCAACGTAGTTGAGGATGGATGTTATCCGTTTCAGTAAGGGCAAGAAGCTGAAGAATTCGAAACGAAAAATCTTCTAATACAATGTTTGAACAGATTAATCGATAGAGACATTTAAGAAACAAATCATCTGATGTGTTAGCAATAAATTTGCCAGTAACAACAACAGCCGAATCTGTACTTGCACCGGAATAAAGACGTTGACGTAGATAACATGCTGAACGGTTCGAATGTAATCGAGCAAGATCATTGTGAAATGCATTTTGAAACAAATTCAATTCATAATCGTCATCTAAGTTTCGATTTTCAAGTCAAAATTGGTAAATATGACAATTATTTACCTTTTGCCATTGTCATTCCAGCCATCGTGATGATTCGATTGATAGCATATGTATAATAATCGACGGCAAGTTGTAAATCACCACGAATGTAAGCTTGATTACCACGTTCACGTAAATCATCGAGCTTATCGAGAACAAAACATTTTTTTATTCGATCACATAAAATCAGGTCAATATTTGGTGATTTACAGTGAAGAGCTACTTGATTATCAATCGAACAATGAGTCAAAAGTGGATCGTGTAGTTTAATCATGCTACCCATCGGTAAAAGGTCATCGAGAATATGTAATCGAGATTCCATTGATTTCACTTCATTTGTTATGACGAAATACGACCAATTGCTGATCACTAAACGAATGTGACGATCGAATTTATCACGAGCAACCATATAAATGGTTCCATCAATCATATTTGTGAGTTTCGCTTGTGTTACAATCCATAATGATAATTGACAATTTTCAGCAAGCTGATGAAGCTTCATATCGATTAATGAGATGTCTTTTCGTTGGGAATCATCGCAATGATTTTGATGTTCAATTGAATCACCTAAAATTGAATGGATCAGCACTGGTCGATCGGCTTCGTCTTTATCATGATGTTCTTCAGCGAAAAATTGTAACTGTTTTTCCTTGGTCATTGAGGATACAATTTGCTTATGAAATGATTCATGAGTCTTTAAAACAAAATCAGCTGAATAGTTTATTGGTGTATTTGTGCTAGACAAAAAAAGGAACAGTTTGATCGTGGACTGAAAAGATGATTACCAGTGTGTAAAGAAGAACAAATATTCTTCAATTGATATTGCGTTTTTACAACGTGAACATTCCATGATGAAATTGGATAAACGCTTCTTACACTGGCTATTTCAATAATGGATATGAAGAGAAGGCCACGTTAAATGCAAATATATATATGTACATTCGAATCGTAACGAAGAAAGGAAAGTCGTTACATGAATCATGGACATAGAGTGAACTTGATTTGATTCGTTGTTACGCATTATGATCGCCAGTTAAATCAAATACAAGTATTTTTTTTATTTATCAGAGTTATAATTACACGATTTTACCGTCGGAAGGCCGCGGTCTTAGAATATAGTTGAGTAACCCGTGATCGATCGTACTTCGACAGATGAATTATTCTTTTAGCTCTCTCATTTTTCACAGTTCATGAACTATTTCAAGGACCAATTTTGGTACGCTCTACTTATATACAGCTTTTTATCTCGAGATTTCCTCGTAATTAAATACAAATTCAGCTATTTTTTATGTGCACTATTTCTGTTCAGGCCATGTTTCGTCAGATAACTACGACAAGTAGCGCTCGCCGTACCGACTCACTTAACCCTCGACTGTCGACGCAGATACTTTGATACTTTTTTCGTGTCCCAATTGTGAGACAAATTTTTCTAACAATTTCATACACAAAAAAACAATTCAAATGTTTTGCAAAGATATATTTGGTAATTTTCGAAAACAAAATACTGAATTTTTCCTACTCTTTTTGGAAAGGCATATAAAAACCTCAATTTTACACTATACCTATGCAATAAGAAGAAAGAAACGATGACGCAAGAGGATGTGGTGCTGGATGCCAAAATGGTGTTTGTAAATGTAATGATAATTGTTCATACAAATGTGAATGGAGATCATGTTTTCATGAAAATACAAGTTATGGACGGCCCAGGTCAATCAATCCCGTACTCGGATCCAACATCGGATTTGTTGATCTGGGTAGCATGCACATGTACTGACTGTCAATGTACAATTTGAAAGCTGTCACTTGTGACTTCATTTATCGTACAGCTTTTTGTTTGTTTCTTTTAATTGAACAAATACAGAAAACAAAAAGAATTTATTGCTTTATCTTGAAATGTTATGGTGTGACTTATATATGTGAGTATAATCAACGCAATATTGAAGTATTTCTTGACTGGGTTCGCTTGGGTGCTAATGATGTGTCTCAAATTGATTGTGTCAGATTCAGAGTTTCGTTCTCTATTGAAAGGTATAGCTTTCGAAGGAATTTGTCTCATCCTCACCCTAAGTTTGAATTATGTGGAATACTTCTGTGAAATAATTTCTAGCCGTCTGAAAAGTCGACGTTATAAAAGACGAAACAGGGAATGGTAGATAGCATCACATCCTCAAGATGGTTTTATTAACTCAATAACTTTCTGTTACTTGTAAATTGAAATTTTTATTGAAATAAATTGAAAAAAAAATCAGCAGAAAAATACTGTGCAGAAGAACTACAAGTGTTAGTTAGGCAATTGTTGCATGTCTTCTGGCATTCTGATACACGGGGGAGGGGTTGCGTCTATTGAATTACAATAATTGAAATATACACTGCGATTCCGATTAATATTTTCTAGATTTAATTCGCCACGTTTAAGTATAATTGGAACTTCAAGTCGAATATTAGTAAATATTCCACGAAGATGAACTTCAACATGCAGAGAATAAAATATACGAGTACCATTTTTACAGAACGATGTAATTATTAATGGTATATTTAATTGAAAATTTTCATTAATATGTTTATCTTTTCGGTTACGGATTCCGTCTAGTTCTATTTTGATAATATCGTTTGCTCTTTTACCAGAGTATGTTTTAATATATTGAATAAAATGAACTGTTATATGATGTATGAAGGCTCCTTTTGGATTATCCAAATCAATATTAAATGAAAGATTATTCTGGGCGAAGACAATACTGTTGTTAAGAGTGACACGAAGACGAACACCACTGCGACTCGCTTTTTCCATTTGAAGTTTAATTGCTGGTAAAAATGTTGTTGGTTGTTGAACGACAATAGGAAACTTTTTCTCAACATTGAATCTATACCATTCAGGACGAACAAATGTAAAACGAACAAAATAATTAAAGCTTAATGTGTCAGTGTCCAACTGTAATATGCCAGTGTTCATCTGTAACATGTCAGTGTCCAACTGTAATATGTTAGTGCTGTTTGGATGAAGCGATGGTGGTAAATCTTTTGCCAGTTGAAAATGAAATGGCCAACTGTGTGTGCCATATGGAACTCGAAATGTGCCGGTTTTGTTAAGCGGATGAACAAGAATTTTCTGTTGAAAAAATATTTCTTTTTGTGACTTTTTGCTTCCTTCACTATCCCGATTTCCTTCATCTTCATCTAAAATAAGTTCACCAATTAATTCAGCATTAATGCTTCGCAATTTTATAACAGAAGAATCTGTTTGAATAAAATCAACAAAACCAGATATTGTTTCACCTATCCAAAATTTATTATCATTCCTTCCATCGAAACGACATCGAATATTCCATTCAGATCCATCAATAGTTTTGCATACGAACACCAAAAGTAAAGGAAAATACTGGAGGAAACAGCAATAGATCTTCATTAATTTCTTTTCGTTGTACCAAGACAAAGCGAGGAATGAATGTTAAAGTGAATTTATACATATATATATAAAGAAAAAGTCAAAGATACATTGTAGTTTCAAATAACAAATATGTAAAATCCTTATTGCAATCGATCTCTTTTTCCCTCTATATGAGATATCTCTCAAAATAAACATCGATTACATTGAAAAACGATCTTTTTGTTTGATTTTTTATCTGCACTTAATTAGTACAAAATAGTCAACAATAGATACCTTGTTGTTATTCATAGCCAACTCACATTGATAGCGTATTCTATTATTCCTTGTAAGTTAATGAGATTTTTTCTGATAAAATATTTTTACATCGAATATGATGTCAATAATTTGCTCTCCTCAATCCCAGTCTACCACATAGATCTGATCTGGTTGTTCTTATTCTCCCAGGTCGAACAATCCCATACTCGGATCCCATCGGATCCAATATAGGATTTTATCAGATCCTTCAGGAATTCGACGGATCCGATGAAATCAAATATGTATAAGTAAAACTAAATCTATTTCTAGTTCTAAACTCGCAGGGGTGTGAGGGTATATATGTATAAGTAAAACTAAATCTATTTCTATTCCTAAGGGTGCTAGGAATTGGTCACTTATATTATAAGTCGAATTAGGCAGCTACTCGTTTTCGGATTTCATCTGATTTTCGATCGAAAAATTAATCATATACAAGGTTGGAAAAAATATCTTTTAAGGGGAGTAATGCTATAAATCCGAGTCAGAAATATGATGAATTTTATACCAAATGAAAGCCCGCGAAAAATGGGATTCAGTAATGCTAAACGGTACAAGTTCGAAGGACTTTCATATAACAAATTCAGAGAAGTAACAACTTTTCATCTACGTAAGATTCAGAAAAACTGGTTTCTCGAGTATAGTGATCGAGTGAAATCTATTGGGGAATGGTTTATTTTTCTATTCTTTAAGTGATACAATTAATAATCCATATGACGGCCGTTAGCGTTTTTTTTTCTGCACGAACTTGAGATGGATACGAACATAGAAGATTTTCAAATAATTCAGTATCTTCTTCCATGCCAGTTAAGACATTAGCGATATGCATCTGAAGTATGCCTTCATGATATCGATTGTATCCAGTTTCCAACGACATTTTCTTTTCAACTTCGTCTTTGATTATTGATCCGATATGTTCCGCTGCATTGAGATCAGGGGAATTATCTAGCCAGATGTCATTACTCCAAAAGTTAACACCATTGTCTTGAAGCAAATGTTGGGTTTTATTTGCTCGCATACATGGTGCTTTATCATGAACAAATATAACTTCATCAGGTTCAATAACATTGGCTTGATCTTTTAAGAATGGGAATACATTTTGAATCAAAATATTATCGCGAAAGTATTGACTAGCCCAAGATTCGCCTTTGTCTTTGATAACCCGGAGTAGTCTTTTGCAAGTGAACATTATAAAAAACTCCAATTCATGATTGATTCTTGACCATTTCGCGATACCTTTCGTCTTCTTCAATGTCATCAATACTTCTCGCCCATATTCTATCATTCGAATAATTTGGCTTACGAATATAGTCCAGATATAAAATTCATCAGTTGGTGCTAGATGAAGGAAATCTTCTTCAGTCCAATCTTTCAATCAGTCGCATATAGCCATAATCGATCTGATATGTGAGTTTCAGTTTTCAAAGGTTTTGAATAATATGAAACGGTTTTAATCTTTCTCTGTAACGGTAATTATTAACAGTTTTTCGGTTAACATATTCTTTTTGCTTTTCTGTAATTTCCTTTGCTACAACAGAGCAACTTTTTCTTTGTTGACCACTTGTTTTATGAATTATGTCTTGACCAGCTTCTGATAGTTCAAGTTTAGCACCAACGTTCGACTAATCAGCAAAGCATTGGTCATATCATTTTCCCGCCAATCAGAGACGAATCGAGTTGTGCGGCGATTTTTATCTGCAATCCATTGTCTATTTATAAATGTTGCACCAGCATCCCTAGCTTCACGGAAAGCAATGCATTTGATTCTATCAATCATTCTCGGTTGTTCATTACCATAAATGCCAGCCATTTCAGATGATGAAACGATGTTGATTTAACAAAGGGATGAATTTATTACGAGAGAAAGTGAAGAAAAAACTAACTGGTATATCAGTAAGAAATCACTGGATGTTGTCTCTACTATACCTTTCAGATAAACAGAAAACAAAAAAATCTTCAAAGTTATTCGTGACACGAGGAGACGACAACAGAACTCAAGAGAATAATGTTGTTGTCTGAATCATAGAGACATCTTAGGATCGTTAGCATGATCCTCCTTTCGTTTTCCCCGAAAATCTCTTCATTTTCGATACCCTAGGAATTATTAAACATACAATAGAATGATTTTTTGAAGAAAATTTCATTCTTTCCGATAGTTTGATATATGAAAGTCCTTCGAACTTGTACTGTTTAGCATCACTGAGTCCCATTTTTCGCGGGCTTTCATCTGATATAAAATTCATCATATCTCTGACTCGGATTATAGCGTTGCCTCCCTTGAGAAATATTTTTTCCAACCCTGTGTATATCGCTTTACTCAAATTGGAAATTTGTTGAAAACTTTTTTCCTGGAAATATTTATTAGATTATTTCGCATTTTTTTCGCCAATCTAATTTACCCTAAGGGAATAAAGACTTTGATATTCGGAATGTAAACTGGCTCCAGAGCGAGTAAACCACTAAAATGCAATTCGACATAATGAACGTTATGCATGAGTAATTTTCACACGATGTGAGTCTGGTGTCGCACAGAATCTCTTCCAATTAGACACACAATGTCTGACTTGGTTTCAAATTTAAACTCCAACTCAGCATACTCGAAAACAAAATCTATGTCAACCTCATTAACAGATGAACTATGCGATATTTGAAAGTTCACTATGACGATCCTCAAAGACTGTTTCTATTGTTTAGGATTGTCTCAGTAGGCTGATCTTCTTCACGAAATGCTGATCCGCACCTGCAAAATATCAATGCGTTGTGGACATATGACACAATTGGCTAATTGAAAAATTTCAGATTAATTTCACATTCGTTCGATGTCGCTTTTAGTTCGCCTGAATCTCACCGCCGCAAAAAATGTACTCGTTTGATTTCCCATTCACTTACTACTGCCGTGAATTCTCGTTCGAAATGATTGAATTTAATCTGTGTCTCTCGTCTCATTCAAGGGATCGTTCGAAATGCTGTTTGGCTAATGTAGCTGATTGTGTTAATCTCTGCTACAGCCGTGAGTTTTTGCTCGAAACGGTCGACTTTAATATTCCGCTGGTCTTTTTTCAGGCGTTGTTGGAACTGAATTGTGGGGAGTATTGCGAGAGTGTTTTTATTCTAATTTGAATGGTGAGATCTTCGGTTAGAATAATGTGTTTTTAATTATTGTTTTCAGCTTTGAGCGTAAAAATCATTGTGATGCTTATTAAGTATTTTTAAAAAAGAACGTATTAGAAACTGTTTGTGACGTTGGAGTGCAGTTGATTTGTCAAGCGTTCCGAAAGATAACAGATAAGAAAAAGTAAGAAAAGTTTGACTTCGTTCCAGGGAAATGAGCGACTGCTCTTCGTGAAGTATTTGAGGCCGACGTAGAACACGCAGACGGAAGTGATCGTTTATTGTATCCAATCATGTAGGCCAGGAAATACTTTGGATATCAAGCCATTTGCAAGGGCACCAATGAAAGCTAGGCCTAAAGGCACATTCCCAGGTCAATCATTTCGGCGACTGAATCCGTTGAAATCTGAGTCGGTTCCATTACAGCTCTTCTCGATTCCGGCGGCAAGGAAATGGTCGGAAAACGAACCTAACTGGCCGGAACCGACCGTGCCATAATAACCTGGGATCGTGATTGTTATTTTGCGTAATTAAATTTTCAATCGCTTTTTGCATATCGTCATCCTCGTCGTCATCATCATTCAATTTTTTCAAACCACCAAGAATGAGAACGGATCTACATATGAAAAAATAAGCGATCAAAAGGTAATTGAGATTAGTTTTCTTTTAATATCGTCACCGATAGAATGTTCTTCTTTCGAATTCAAAGTGTAGTTGTCTCAACTTGATTAACCAATTCATATCAACGGAAAGATCAGGTTCTTTCTTCAAGTCTTATATAGGTGAGGTGCACGAGCAAATGAAAAGTACTCTCGAATTAATATGCAAATTTCTCAACTTTTCTCGCAATTTTCGATCGCAACTTGATGGAACAACATTTGTTCGCAGACAATCTCCTTTATAAACACGATCAAATCGTCATACACTCACAATGAAAATAATAATCCCACCTACCCTGTGATAATGTGTGAGGAGGGCGAACCAAGATGAGGATATTCCAGTTTATTCTGAGAAAAAAAAACGATGGTAACGATGAGAAGGGAAAAATCAACTACCACAGAAAACGAGAAAAAAAACTCTCTATATAGATGAAAGTCTATATGCGTCTAGACAAAAACGAAATCTAACGACGCAATAAAGAAAAAAGAAAACAAAGGTTATCACAGAAACGAAAAACTGTATATGTAAGGAATGGAAAGATTACTAATAAGAGGAACGAAACGAAAAGAAAAGGAAAACAAAGACAAACATATATCATAGTTAGTGTAATCGAACGATGACGCTAACAATTTCCGGTACTACTTACGAAATTGTTGCGTTGGTGTGATTCATATTATCGATATGTGATGCCACATATTGCAAACTTCGAGCTGGAAACGGTCAGGAACTGATCGGATATTTCCTGTGCAATTCCGGCCGGAATCCGGCGACAAGGAACCTGCTGGAATCGAGAAGAGCTGTACCGGAACCGACTCAGATTTCAACGGATCCAGTCGCCGGAATGATCGACCTGGGTGGAAAAGAGTTGCGATGTTCGATAAAAATGTTGTTGTTTTCGTGAAAAAGAACGATAACAGCAACACAGGTGCTAGCACCAGTACTGGCTAAACTACCTCCCACGGAATTGTACTTATCCATTCCGAATCTTTTTCGTTGTATTAGCACTGTTGGCCATTATTTCTCTGCTTAGTTGTAAAAGCACTATGAATTATATCGAATGCGCAGTTAAACTGTAAGTTCACGAACAAAGAAAAATCGTTCGCTAAGTGACTAAGACGTCATTTTCTGTTCTACGATACGTATCGTATCGAGGTTTTCACTTCTACAACATGTTTGTTTTTATTCAACTTTAACCTCGACAAAGATACTAGTTGTAACATCGTCCAAGCCGCTCTGTAGAGTGAGGGCAAAGATCGAATAGCGATATCTTGACTGAAATTATGTGAACGATATCATACACAAAAATATCAAGCTTCTCAAAGTTATTCAGCAAGATTTGCTAAATTAATTATAATATGAAGAACTCTCTCCTGTTTGGAATGTGCAAGCAATACGTCGTTGGCTATCACAGCAAATCGTTCGTATGGAATATTATTCACTTGAAAGACTTTGCAAGCAAAGATAACTTCGTTTAAAAGTTCGTTTTATTGTTCATAGAGAAAAGAAAAGAAACATTCGTTTATTAATAACAGGATGAGACGCATTTCAATCTTCGACAAGTACAACTTCACTTGTTTGTGTGTTATCATCTACTTCTGTCAATTCTTCATCAGGTCCAAACTAAACATAAAATTAATGAGATCAACAGTATCGAATGTTCTTTTAACTTACGAAATATTCGACGAGTGATGGTTTATCTTTTTCAGTATAAATCAAAAATTGAGCACATAAAATACCAGCAGCGTCAATACGCAACGAAAGTTTACTTGCAATTGATAACGCTCGAACAATGTACTGAAAAAACTGAGTTTTGTATCTACATGAAAAAATATCAATCGCTTTGAAGTTAGAAATACACGATAGAACATTTACCGATTATGTACCGGTTCAGTGCATAAAAATGTGTCCATGACAGGTGAATCTTGAGTTATATCAACAGATGTACTACCACCACATCCATTTGCAATCAAACGAAAATGTGGAACATCTTGAGTTATCAACAATTCAATACCTGAGAAAAATAGAGCAAAACAATTTCGAGAAAAGATAAGGAAGAAACTGTAAATACAATCAGCTTTGAGATCAATTTCGCTAAGTGCTTCTTTAAATCCGTTTGCCTGAAGAAAAATGGGCCGATTCAAACGAAATTCATCATTCAATAAAATTCCTACTTTGAACACCACTTTCGTTACAACATTTTCTGTTTGAAAATCGAAATCGATCGTATCTGTGTCGTCCAATACTTTAATGAGACATTCCGTTATTACACCTTCTTCTTCCAAACTACCAAATTTTAAATTGAGATCAATTCATTTGAAAATTCTTGGAGAAAAGTTACTAAAGTTGTAATGGATGAGTTTGATTTTCTCGATAATGAATTTGCACAGCGACATTTGTTGGCAATGGCTCATGCGTCACAGGATCAAGTGGAACACCAAATATATTTAAACAGTTCTAAATCGAAAAATTGCTAACAACCGGAAAAGGAGACGAATGTCATACCATGACAGTTTCGAGATGGAATCGAAACCGGACTTGACGTGTCAGTTCATAAGAATCAAACACACGTGTATCAATAAAAGCGTTTCCTTGAACACATTGTTTATCTTCAACGATGATTTTTATTCCAGTGGGTAGAGCACAAAAGATTGCATCCTAAATGGAACATAGTCACACGAGAGAAACTAACAAAGAAAAGTTACATCAGCGAAGTCAATCGTTTTCAGAATACTCGCTAATGTTCGACTTGATTTTAATTTGGCAACAAATGCAATATCATCATTTTCATTGGATTCCTGTTCGTTGACATTCGTTTCTTCTTCATCGGTGTCTTTTTGATGAGTATCAAGTAATGACATGTTGCTCGTTCGGTATGCATTATGCTCACATATGAAATCGAATATAAGAACCTTTAAATAATGAAAAGAAGATTTCATTTATTAGGGTGTCATTTTATAGCCATACCTTTGAAAGACCGGCCTTAGGATATCATCGATTAACCTGTATTTAAGCAGTCATACTTTGATAGGTGAATTATTTTCTTAGTTTTGTCATTTTTCACAATTCATGAACTATTCATATAATTGATTCAGGTATGCTTTAAGTATGTTAAGTTTTAGCAAAATTACGGAAACTTTAGATTTTATCCAACAGGTATATGTATTGCAAAAAGTGTACGAGAAAGACGGGCCGTGTTGGAATGTTTATGGATCAAAGTCATAGTGGAAAATCGTTTCAATGAACACAATTTCTGATAACTTGAGATTTTTCGTGTTTTTATCTATCAAGATTGCACTAGTAGTAGCTTTATGAATTCATAAGTATACGGTGGATATAAGTATCAGTATTTGCATAATAGCTCAACGATATTAAAAACGATGAAAGTCGGATTGTTATCATTTCATTATTCTTCGGACTGGTTACACAGTCAAGCATATGCGAAACACCTAAGCTGCTGACTATATGAGATATGCCTATGGAACTCGATTTGCGTTTGCAACTTCAGCGCATTTTCAGACTTTTTCGGTCCATGTTTTGTTAAAAAACTAAGATTTCATTCACAAATAATAAGAAATGTCGAATCACCGTGGAAAATTGAGTCGACTTATATATTATGTTGCCAAAATAATAATGATCAGATAATTTTTTGATGACTTAGTTATTTCTTGAGTTATCATTCTCCTCTTCAAGGTTCGATTTCGAATCTGACCGAAATAGTTACGAGACTGAACTGTGCACAAAATTTCATCTCGGTCGGCCTCTTCTTTTGAAAAATATCATATAAACGGTCGGATGGATATGCTTCTCAATTTCAGTAATGTTTGCGCTTTTCAATCACATTTGAAACACAGAGCAAACAAATGACAACAGTTTTCAAAAATAATCGTTACATGAACATTGACCATTTTTCTGGAAGTGATGAATCCGATTGGCATTTCGAACAACAATTTCACATTGACGAATTGTAGCTATTAACTTTGTTGCTCGATCTAAATCATACACATTCATCAAATGAATGAGTCAAAGCAAATATGAAATCAATACTCACGACAATCACCACACACTCTCAAGTTCTTCGTGATTTGAATTCTTTTCGTATGAGGATTTACTACAAAATTCCATGCCATGGCAAGTCGTTCACTATGACCACATAGAATCGATGCGACACTTTCGTCTTCAGTCATCGTTCGTGTTGTCCAACTGGAATCATATTCATGACCGTGTGCAGCTAATTCTTCTGATATTTTCTGTACTTCACGATAAATTTCATCTGATCGAGAATGAGATGCGTCATGAGCACGAAATTCCTACAATCAAATACTTTTACATTGTTCAAAAGAAAAACTTGTCATTCATATTGGAACTCACATAAATTAATTTCTCCGTCGACTACAGTCGTTGATTTGCCAATCTTTTTTCTTTCTACCAGTTCTAGATGGAGTTGGAGTTCATTGCGAGAATAGTGAAATTTTCAGAACTTATGAACGCATATCGAGTGATTTTTCATTGATCATTAGCAGAGGTTAATCGTAATAAAAAAACAACGATCAAAAATTTCTCCTTGTGTGTCTGTTCGTCAATGAACAAAAATCAAAGGTACATTTAGTTCAGAATACTGCTCCTTATCTTTACATTCGACGGGACCGTATGGAAAACATGTAATCTTGCTTTCAGAATGTCTCAAAATATACTTTCTGTTCATCGTTGACTCTGCATTAATCCTGATCATGTTCGTAGAGTGGTTGTAGATTGATGGTCTGAATTGTACGGATTTAATATTGACAAAAGATGAAACAAAACCGAAAAAATAGGTTCATTGATAAATAATATCTATTTGAGTCATAAAAAACAGGTATTTTTCATAATTTTTCAATAGTATTGTGATGAAAATAAAGCATTTCCAAGAGTCTAGTTTCATGGCAAATGTGATGTGTTATAGTTCATACTCGCAGAATACCAGCAAGGATCATTGAATAGGTGAATAATGAAATTTTATGGTATCGGGTAATCTTGACAATGAAAATGAAGAAAACGAAGATAGAAAAAAAAAGCATGATGATAATAATAATAGATTGGGTTTTTTAGTGAAGCCAAATGGTCAGCATGTTATGATAAGAAAATTCAATCTGAGCAGCAGTTGAATCTTTTAGACGATCAATCTTCGCTACAATTTCTTCTTTGGTATTTTCTTTTTCACGTGGTCTAAGTTGGACATTGCCATTTTTGTTTATTTGTAACAATAATAATTCACAAAAATAGGATTTATCCATCAATAATTGACATAGAAAAGCTACCATATCTTTTCTTCTAACCAACTGTTTACCATCAAAAGTAAGATAACGCACTTTGGGTATGATTGCATGAAATCGAATCACATCGAAACGTACACCATCCCATCCAAGCATGAGATGAACATGCTCGATCATTGGATATTTTCCCGAACAAAAAGAAAGATCTCTCCATCGCACATTGAGATAGGACAGATGAGGTGATACATCCAGAATTAATTGTAGCAGTGAATGTTGCATTGAGTCGACACCGATAACATCTGTTAATCGAAATGTCAACGAATGAAGATTGCGGCATAGATTGGTATCTGATGGAGTTATGTTGATGCGTACCTGGCTCTAAAATGTAAAATCATGCATCATCTAGTTATTTCTAGCATGTCTTTCATTTAAGAATTTCAAATATTGAAATGAAAGGCAAAGATCGAACAAAAGTCAGAATTCTTGATATATGTACTCATGAAAACGACAACTTACATTCATTGCGAAAAAGTCGCAATGAAGCGACTTGACGTTTCCCACTGTTTGAAGACTTTCAATTAATGGAACTTTCTTGTTTGTCCATTTACATAACCATTCCATGTTGCGACGAATAGAGTTTCTCCGACTTGTCGTTGAATGACGACAGAAAAGTTCATAGTTGTGCACAGTACGCATATATTTCAATACATCAAAAGGAATGCTGTAGATAACAAGTGAATCTTCAATTGAAGCTAATGGAGATGAACAAGACCGCTCTGCAATACGTTCGTCTATATGAAAGCCAACATCATCAAATAACCATCCATTGCTATTATTATATCTTTGGATCCATTCATATTCATATTTAGCAGGAAATCGAAGTAGAAATTGAAATTGATTTCGTTTAAGAGAAGGTAAATTTGAAGGACCAACTAACTGTTGAAAAACTAACAAATTATCTAAAGCTAAATAAAATTCTTTCAGTGTTCTCTTGATTTCAAATTGCTAATCGATATTCAAGGCTAATAAGAATGAAAAGTGAATATAATTCAGCTTTAGACGAGAATTTCTCAGCTCAGGTTCCTGCAAAATGTTTACCCTATTTATTGAGAAGGATATGTCAGGGGTCACAGGACATCAAAATTTATAAAGGTGTTTGCTGTTTAGCGGAAAAAGAGCTCACAGGTTCAACGAATCATAAAACCGCACCAAAAATCAGTACCAAACTATGTTAATGTCTGCGCACATGTATATAGAGCAAACGCCAACAATAAAAGACTCAACGTCCTCTTTTCATTAAAATAACTGATTTATTTAAAAGGATTTATCTTGAGAATTTTTTGCGGAAGGGCAAATATTATACGTCGAAAAGAATTGAAAAGCGATTCATTTTATCCATCTGCACACTTTAGAAAACTTTAACCAAGAGGTTAACTCTCGAAGAGACATTATTCTCATCTACGATAGTGCAAGCCTGTCTGCAGGACTCTGGAGTGATGTGTATCAAAAAAAGAACAAAAGGGAAATCGCTCCCCGTATACTGTGCGAAACACGCACATATATACGGACAAGAAAAGGAACAAAGAGAAAGAATGGAAGAGAAGAGCGATATGTGATCGCTAACAGATAGTAAATGATATGCTATCTCCTCATGTATATATTTAAATTGTGACGTTAATTAGTTCAGTCTGAAATAGCTACCAGGTTGCGCATAACTTTTTGCTGCGGGATAACACTATGATTTTTAGTTGGTTACTCAATAGATTTTATACCAGATTAAAGCCCGTGAAAAGCTGGATCTAGTGGTATAGTCATCATTTCCATAGATAAGTGAATGAAGAAGAGAATTTGTACAAATACTCAATCGTCTAAGAATAGATTTGAGCGTAACTTTTTGGCAGAAGAATACAACACTAATTACTAGTGAAACAGTTTTCACTGGTATCTCTACTGGAACCATCTTAATCTGGCATAAAATTCCTCCGATACCCAACGCAAAATCATCGTATTATTCCGTAGCAAAAGACTATGCGCAACTCGGTGGACAAAATCTCACGAGTTAACAAAGGAGTTGACTGTGAATTTAACTTCATTGTACTTACATTCATCAAATATATCAACCAATATAAGTGTGTCGAGACGAGGAAAGCTCAGTGTGTTGAATAAAGTCAAAAGATCCTCGAGCTGTATTTGGCGTAACACGAATGATCGAAGTTTTGTTCCAGTAGCATTGGCATAACAAAGGTCATTTTCACATAATTTAATAGATTTTGTTGGTTGTTTCCTCTTAATTATTAGATCAACTCGTGGTTGTTCGATAGTTACACTCAAATATTCGAGTAACGGTAATGCCTTGGACACTAAGAGAAGAGTAAGCTCAGATGAATGTTGCAGACTAATAGTAAGTCGAACGGTACGTGTCAAACATAGCGGATATTTTATGTCGTATAAATCTTCACGTTCCCAATCTTGATATAAATGTCCTAAAAGTAAATTCATGATCGTTAGGATCAGTTTCTATCGATCACAGATTTGAAACATAAAATCACTCGGCTGTTAGAATACTTTATTCACAAGACAACATTTTGATTAACTAAGTTTTATTATACAAACCTTTCGTTACTTCTAATATCATAACTGGACATGAAATACGTTTTTCCACTATGAGCGACAAAATATAATCATATGTAGAATCTGCTTGATCAAAAACAAGATAAAGATACTGAAGTTGTGTTTGAACAATCTGTACAAACTTCTGATCACAAAGTAAATCACCAATCTTGTTTAAAGCTTCTGGTAAAATGTAAATTGTTCGTAAAAGTGGTAATTTCCAATTTGCTTTTCTTGCAATCCATCGATTAATCAATATTTCATAGTCAAAATCATTCTCAAGACAAATTGCNAAAACAAACCTTAACTAAACCAAAAACTTCTATGTTAAGATCGAGAACGATGTGTCATAAAATTCGAATTTCATCATGTTTTCTGTTTTTCACCAATGAATCAAGCAGATTTTGATAGCCAAAAATCAAAAAATTCTTTGATACAAACTCGTTCAACTTTCCACTGATACAAAATTTATTTCGAAAGTGATCGAATGGATGTTTCGCGGTCAGTTCAGCCGAGTTAAACTTGGCCCAAGCAATTCGGCAAAAACAAACTGACTTTATCGAAGAATCCAATTATTTATCGAATCAACAATAGAGAAAAATCTGTATCCATTTAACATAATCGCTGTTGCATCATTCAAAACAAACACTTTAGTTTACGGAATTTTTGACCATGAAAAGAACCTGATAGAAATGACTAATTTCAATTATTTCTATGATTAACAACAAGGCAAGCTGAGTTGATTGCGTCGAACGAAATTTTCTCGAGAATTGTAGAGAGACGTTGATCCAGCACTTGCTGTGTCTGCAAGGATTATCGATTGACTCTAAAAAGTTGAATAAAAAAGACAAAAAAAGTATCTAATTATTGCAAATGAGCCTTGTCCCATTTGAATTCGATTTTATTCTTCTTTTTCAGGCATCAAAATATGGGAGCATGAAAAAGCTATTTGCAATACCAGGCGACACTATTGATCAGACTTTGTAGTTGTCATATATCGATGTGAAGGTCGCACCAACAAACAAAGTGCTATATAAAAACAAAACACCGTCCGTAAAAACGATGAGGAGAAGTTTTACCTCGAACTTTATTTGTTTCTCGCATATGTATATGTATGGAAGAAAAAATCCCGATGACACTTTCCCAGTCGTTTTCTTATACATAAAAGTTTCATCGTTCGAAGTAGAATTTGATTCTGCATTAAATAGATTCTTTTTTTAGAGTCAGCAATCCCTTTTTATGTGATTTTTTAAAATAATTCTTTGTTTCGTGATGTCTACTTCACGGCAATTTGTCTTATCGATGCGCTTGTCAACTGAATTAAATGGCAGTAAAAGCAAGGTTTGCAATTCATATAAAAGTTTGGAAAGACTAACGGTATAAGAACTCACAGAAAGAATCTTTTAACCTGGATTTTCGAAGATAAAAATTGACCTTTTTTACAAAACCATTACAAACTTAACTGAAATACGATGGTTTTCCTTCGTTCATATATAGGTGTGACCGTCAATTCTCTCATGTATTGTACAAATGCTATTGTGTCGTCTTCTTCTGTGTCAATGTTAACTTCAATTAAAGTGTGAGTATCTCAGCTGGTGGTCAATGAGCAAATGTATTTGAATAAAAGCTCAATATATGAGTGTTCTTATTTTATCAATCATAAGACTCCTCTTCAAACTCTTTGGCTTCATCATCTGAGTGGATGTCTACGTCTTCTTCCATAGTAGTGACATGTTTAATGAGCTGTTCAGCATCGTCTCCAAATAATTCAATTCCATTAGCATTTAACATGTTTGTTCTAAAACTTGCAATTGAATTAACCCGATAGGCTTGCTCTGCAGTTTCTACAAAAAAAGAAATCCCAAGAAAGATCAATTGCAATGGTTATTATCTATATTGTAGTTAAATTAGATGCAAAATTTGCAGAGGAGAATAAAGTCTAGATATCGTCATTAAAAAGAGCTTCCAATAGTAGAGAAGTTTAAAGAGGTAAGTTCATATTTGCGTTTTTACTAGATACAGAACTCTTTTAGTATGTTGAAACGATGAATTTCTGAAGAAATACTCGAAACCTTTTCAAGATGTTCCAGTGCTTCAGATACGTAGAAAACAAATATAACGTAAACGAAGTGCTTGTCTTTTGTCTTACAGATACATTTCTGTGAGATCGACTGTTTACAAAGAAAAATGCTCTCGATATCAATGTTGTGTG